CGGTGAGGGAACGCAGCGCTGTTGTTTTCCGTCACTGAGTGTGGGTGCTTTGTTAGAACGACCCCAGGACGGGCAGCCGTGAGCTGGAGCGGGGAGGGAAGCTCCGCCGTCCCCCTGCCTTCGAGGGCCCCCTCCGGCCACTAACCACACCCACCGGGTCATGCCTACGGCGACTCACTAAACACTGTTTCCGGAAAGAGTTTCTTAACATTTCAAAATCGAGTTCAGACCCACCCCCTTTGATTTCTTTTTTCACTGTGTAGAACATATTTATTTACTTTTACATTCTACTTTATTGATGATGCTATTACAGTTGTCCTGATTGCTCCCCCTGCGCCCCTCCACCCAGCACCGCCCGCTCCCGCAGGCAGTCCCCCACCTCTGTCCGCGCCCATGGGTCGTGCGTGCAAGTTCTTTGGCTGCTGCGTTTCCCATACGGTACTTCCCATCCCCGTGGCTATTCTGTAACCACCTGTTTGTACTTATTAACCCCCCAGCTTTTCAGCCATTCCCGCGCAGCCCCTCCCCTCTGCCGACCATCAAAACACCCTCCGTATCCGTGATTCTGTCTCTGTTCTTGTTTGCTCAGTTTGTTTTTAGATTCAGTTGTTGATACGTTGTTTCATTTTTTGGGTTTTGTGTGTTTGTTCTTTTTTTTTGCCATTTTGTTGTTCATCGTTTCAATCTTCTTTTTCTTAAATAAGTCCCTTTAATATTTTATATAATAATGATTTGGTGATGATGAACTCCTTTAATTTTTTCTTGTCTGGGAAGCTCTTTGTCTGCCCTTCGATTCTAAGTGATAGCTTTGCTGGGTAGAGCAATCCTGGCTTAGGTCCTTGCTTTTCATGACTTTGAACATCTCTTGCCAGCCCCTTCTAGCCTATACAGTCTCTTTTTAGAAATCAGCTGACAGTCTTATGGGAGCTCCCCTGTAGGGAACTAACTGCTTTTCTCTTGCTGCTTTTAAGATTCTCTATCGTTAAACTTCGGCATTTTAATTATGATGTGTCTTGGAGGGGGCCTCTTTGCATCCGTCTCGTTTGGGACTCTCTGTGCTTCCTGGTCTTGCGTGTCTATTTCCTTCACCAAGTTAGGGAAGTGGGGTTTTTTTTCATTATTTTTTTCAAATACATTTCCAATTTCTTGCTCTTTCTCCTCTCCTTCTGGCACCTCTGTGATGCGAATGTTGGGCCTCTTGAAGCTGTCCCAGAGGCTGCTTATACCAGACCAGCCCCCTTTTAAAACTCTACCCTGTCCTTGGCCATCGGGGAGGGAAGGCACACGTTTGCTCCGGTGAGTGGCTGCCTTTTCACGCCCTGTAAAGGCAGTGCATTACCACGGGAATAAACACACTCGCAGCTGCACCCAGAGCCACCTGGCACACCTCTCGGCGCCTCAGAACACACCAGTTAGTGGAGCAAAAGCGTGCCTGGCTTCTGCCCCTTGCCTTTTGGGAAGACCTGCTATGTCTCCATCTGCTCTGGCCCCGAGCCCCGCGTTGCCTCTGCGCGCCCCTCCCCCCTGGAGCCGGACCCCCTCTTTTCACGGACTGTGGACCCCAGTGTGAGCCCACTCTCGGCCTCCACGTCTCCTCTGGGACGCGAGAACAGCCCCCGCCACCAGCAGGAGTGCTGGGAAGAGGGGCACCTGTGCGTTGATCTCGCCCTGCGACACACCGGGAAGGCAGGTCTGTGGGCGTAGGGGCTGGAGGGGAGAGAGGAAGGGAAAGTGGCTCCTAGCAAGTTGGGCATTTCTTTTGAGGGGATGAAAGCATCCTGGAAGGAGACAGGGATGACAGCCGCACAGCCTGGTGACTGTTCCAAATGACACTGAGTTCCCCTCGTTCCCTTAAAAATGCTTAAAAGGCCAGATTTTATGTTACGTGTATTGGGATAGAGGGACGCCAGCTAACGCCCTCCACCGCGCCGAACCTCAGTTTCCTCATCTGCAAAACAGGGGTGTCGGCCGAGTCGCCGTCATGCGTGGCTAAGCGCATGCTAGTCCTTGGTCCCTAGGTATGGCGGGCATGGGGCCACGCGCCCCCACGGCGCTGGCAGGCCGCCTCCCCGGGCGCAGGGGCACTCCCCACCACAGCGCAGGCAGAACGGCTGATCTGAGACAGTCGCAGCCAAGGGCCCGCCCTCGGTGGAGGCTCAGCACGTCCACCCGCCTCGAGGCCCCGGGCAGGCTCCTCGCCGGAAGCTGTTCCTGGAATCCTGACTCACAATCAGACACCAGGCTGGAGCGGATGACGTTTGAAACCCCAGCCGCCCGGCCTGAGCGATTGGGCACTCTGAATTTAATTCTGCAGGTAATTTGAACGATGCTATCTAATTTCAAATGTCCCCGCTCGTATGAGTGCAAAAGCAGCATAATTTTTAATTAGTGGGTAAACAGTAAATAATGGATGGCGGTAAGTGGACGCCACCGTTAATTAAAAATCCATGGTTGATAAAAATCAATTTGGCCCACGCGTTTAACTCTGTCTACCAGGTCCCTGCGAAAAGCTGTGCCGCCTGGCCCCCCGCACCATCTGCTCCTGGCGGCTGTTTCTTTAGTTAAGACTTTTCTAGGAATTAAAAAAGAGAGAGAGAGAGAGAAGACAACAGAATCAAAAGACTTCCTCAAAAGCTGCCACTGAGAAAATGTCATGTATCCTTTTAGAGGCGGGGAATTTGACGTGTGCAGCCTTGAGGCAGACGGTCCCGAAGGGCGGAGGGCGCTGTCTCCGGCTGTGTGTTTTATTTGGTGTGTTTGGGACGCAGGGAAGTTTCGCCGTATCACGTCATCTCCCGACTCAATGGAATCCTAATTTCTCACAGCGAAACAAGACCAACTCTTAGCTCCGGCCACACGCTATCTGAGGGTTCGGGACAGTGCCCTCCGAGAGAGTACAGAGGGAACAGAAGACATTTCTTCGGGAACCCGAGCTCTGTGGGACCCTGCCCACGCCATTTCAGGGCCCGTTCCGGACTCTGCTGCGAGACGCAAGCTCGGCGGAGCAAACGACGCCCACCCCCACGGCCCTTGGCGTCCCTCCGCTCACGCCACCCTCCCGGCCAGCCCTTTGGGGCGGGCTTCACCGACCCAGGTGCCGCTCCGGCCACCTTGCAGAGCCGAGAGCGGGGACCCAGTTCCCAGAGTGGAGGGTGCGACCTGTGTGCTCTGGCTCGGGACCCCCGGCCGGGTTGCATCGCCGATGCCCGCCCACCATGCGGCCGGGGCGCTGGCACCTGCAGAATCGGTGGCGCCCGAGCTCCTAGGGAACCGCCACCGCAGGGAGGCCCTCTCATTCCAGACTCCCCTCGGCGGAGACCCCCTGCGAGCTCTCGGGGCACCTCGGCGCCCACGTGGGCATCGGGCACCACAGCCGGGGTCGTCGGCTGTTTGTTTCCATTTCTCCTCCATGGCTGATTAAAACCAGCAAAGCAGTTGCGGGATAAACCGGGTGCGGAGCAGGGACCCAGGCCGCACTGCGTTCCTCCCACTCCTCCCTCCCCCGCTCCCTCCCACAGCTGCATCCCACTGAGTCTTGAAAACAGACCCTTCCTCGTGCCCCGCATGCACGATGAGCGATGGCTAAGACGTCAGGCCAGCGTGTGACAACCTGGGCTCGGACCCCGGCCGTGTCACATCTGGGCGACCCATGCCCCGTGCCAGCTAAGCCCGCGTTGCCAAGGAGGAAGCTGCCACAGGCACCGTGTCCGAGGGTTGTTGCAAAGGTCAGATAATGTATAAAAACGCGCAGCGTTGACCCGCGGTCCGTAGGAACCGCACTTGTCATCGTCCCCGCCGTCCGCGCTGCTCCAGCTTGGTCAGCTGACCACCGGGGGCCCGAGCCTCGGGGTGAGACCCCTGACCTCGGGGGCCGCGAGGAGTCCGCACTGCCTCGCTTTCCTGAGAGGCTGTGCGATCCGTGCCCCAGGCCCCGCCCCCGGCCCCGCTGCCTTTCCGGAACCCGACAGGAAGACGTGCACATGCAGTGCGAAGGCGGCAGAACACATCATTCATTCGCTTCTCCACGCAGCCCCCCAGCCTTCCTGGGGCCCCCGGGCCCCCGGGCCTGCCTCCCAAGCTGGCTGATGTCTCCGCCAGGCCCGGAGCCCCTGACCCACTGCGGCCGCAGGCTCGGCTGGAGGAGGGCCTGGCAGCCCTGGCGGGGAGCCGGGCCGCGGTGGAGGCCGGGCGTCCGGGAGCAGGGTCCTCTGCCGCCACACTTGGAAGCTGCTGGCCACCCGGTGCCCACAACATGCCACCCTCTGGGCTGCATCAGGGCCAGGCTGTGGAGCAGAGGTGCCGGCTGCTGGCGGGATCGCTGCTCCTTAGCGGCCGAAGGCCCTGCTGCTCCCGCCCCTGAGAGGCCGCGCGGAGAGTGAGCGAGCGGCCCCGTGCCGGGCCTGGCTTGTCTCCACGGATGAGCACATCTGGCCTTGCTCACAAGGGCCCCGCGCCCGCTGGTCACGCCCGTCCTCCCTGAGGCCGGCTTCCTGCCCGCCCCTGTGGGCCTCTTGCCTCCACCCCCGTGCCCACCGCACTTCCCGAGCACTCGCTGCGTGCCAGGTGCTGGCCTGGGTCCCAGGAGGTAAAGAGGGACCGCGCAGGGGCCTGGCTCCAAGGAAGGCCATGAGCTGGGCTCCTCAAGGGGGAGGGTGGCAAGCCCGCTGTGCCCAGGGCGAGAGCGCCCACAGCAGCGAGTCTGCGCAAGGCTGCCCCTGCCGGAGGTCTGGCTCGGCACCATAACTTCCAGACTCTTGGTTTTTCTCCCTCCAGGAGGCTTGGATTCCATGGTGGTCCCATCTGGGAATCCAGGAGATGAGTCCCAAGGCTCATCCTAGGCACCCCAGTTTGGCGCCCCATCAGTGTCCGGGGACAGGGGAGGCTCAAGGGGGAGCTGGGTGCCGGGGTGGGCGGTGGTCGGGGCGGAGGTGGAGGCTGGAGCCGGCGGAGCCCCCTGGGAAACGCCGGCATCACTAGCCCTGGGTCTGTCTGCTTTGCAGCCTGCACGGTAGAGGCGTCCAGGACAGTGAGCGGTGGCCACCTGCGCTGGGCGCCGCCTTGCCAGCAGCCCCTGACCCACAGAGCGCCCGGGACTGCGCTGCTGCCCCCGCGCCTCGAGGGACCCTGGATCTCCACTGGGTAAGGCCCTAGGGACCCCCTGACTCAGGCCCCCGGGCGAGGTCGGTACAGTGCATCCGACTGTCCGAGGGGCCCGCTGCCCCCAGGCCCCCCGCCTGGGCGAGTCTGCAGGGCAGGCCCGTGCTGGGAGCCACGCCCCAGCCGCAGGCAGCAGCTGGAGGAAGTCCACCCTTCAGCACTGAGCTTCCCCCACGCCCAGCCTCACTGAACCTGCGCCGCCGCCGTCGTGCGGCTCTGAGCACGTGCGCTCAGAGGTGAGCCACACAGACTGGGGGCGGGGGAAGGGGGTGGCAGACGCCGAGCTCTGCAGCAAAGGACAAAAAACCGAGGGTGTGACAGTGCCTGACCCGGACGGCTTTTGTGAGCCTGGTCAGGGAAGGCTTCTCGGGGGCGGTGACATTCAGTTGAGGGTGACAGCAGGGGAGTCAGCCACCCAGAGAGGCAGGGGAAGAGTCAGGCAGCGGGGACAGCGTGTGCAAGGGCCCCGCAGCAGGACGTGGGGTCTAGGGAGGGCCGGCGGCCCGCCCGCCTGCCTGATTCTCCTCCGGCCTCGTGGCTTGCCTGGCTGTTCAGGCGCTGCTGCAGCGGCAGCGGCTGGGGGCGCAGCTCTGGGGCAGTGGGCCCCGCTCTCCACCCTCCCTGGCAGGCGCGCTTGCTGCAGCAGCCAGCTGAGCACCCCCTCTTGGGGCAGGGAAGGGCAGAGGCCTCCTCCACGCCTCGCGCCTCGCTTCCTTCCGGACCACCCCTCCCAGCCAGCCCCGTCCTGGGACCGGGGACTGGGCGGACTCTGCGTCCCCTCCACGCACCTTCTGAGGTCAGGGAGGAAGCCGATGCCAAACATCTGCTATCGCTCGTGGGGAGGGACGCGAGCTCCGCGCAGCCTCTTTGGATGCGGTCCCGGGCTCTCGCCCAACGGCACCGCCGGCCAGGGTCACTCCCAGACAGAACTGGGGCTCGGGAAGGGTGGGGTCCAGTTGCAGGCGGCTCCTGCCCTGGGACAACAACAGCATTCTGGGAACAGTGCTTCTAGAAACTTCTGGAACCTTCTTCCTAGAAAGTTCCCCGTTTAGACAGGCTCTGCTTTCCAGACAGGCTCTGCTGCTTCCTGGAGAGGTGCAGAGAAGGATTCAGAGTCTGGGAACCACTGAGTGTCCAGTGTGACCTGCTGCGGCCCCTCAGGCACAGCGTGCCCTCCCCGGCCCGGTCTGAGACACGGGTGGCGGGGGTGGACCGAGGCCCCGGGGCGCAGGAGCCGCCCTCGCGGTGCTTAACTACCGCCTGCGCTAGCGTTCCCCACCCCCACCCCCCCTGCCCCCCGGTGTGTCTTTAAACCAACTTGCTTTTGTTCACTTAAATATATTCATTTATTCTTACAGCTTTATTGAGGTATAATTGGTATACGGTAAACAGCACATTTACAGTGTACTCTAATTATTTTTAAAGGAACCGTAATATCTCCCTGGATATGGAGAGCAGAGCCACTTGCCATAAATGGGAGGCAATGTAAAAAGAAAGTCAATGGAAACAAAACAACATAATTAAATGCTCACTAGATTCGTCGCCTGCCCGAGGCCCCGTGTCCGCTCTCCGTGGGCGGGAGGGAGGCTGGCGTCAGACACACATGAGCTCCCACAGAGGTTTTCTCCTCCGCAGGACCCGAGACGCGGAAAGACAAAACCACAGGGCCGTTTGCGTGCCGGGCGAGCTCCAGCAGCCCTGGGTGTGCAGGGCACGGAGGAAACAACAGCTCAGGTGGCACTGGCCAGAGCGACGTGGTTGAAGGGGCACCTGCCTGCCCTTTTCCCGGGACTCACCTGCCGCACACCCTGCCTGGGCCCCTGGGGGAGAGCCCAGGAGGCACCCCCGCCCCAGCCCAGGGGTGACGCGCGCCTCGCGGTTTCTTTGCGCCCAAGCCCACCCTGTGCTCACCTTCACCGCCAGCCAGCAGAACGGGGCCTGGGGGGCAGGAGCAGCCCATGCCTGATTTTGTCAATAAAGTTTTATCGGCGCACAGCCACGCCCACACCCGCAGGCCCCCGGCTGCTTTAGCTCCGCAACTACAGCCTCGAGGAGCAGCAACAGAGACCAGCTGGCCCACAAAAGCACAACGAGTTGTGGCCAGACCCTTTCCGCGGTTGGCTGCCCTCTGGTTTCGGTCCCCAAGCCCGTCACACATGTGTCCCCGCGTGGCGCCAGGGAGCCCTTCTCAGTGCCCGCCAGGTGCCACCACTGCGTTGGGCATGTCCTGAGACCATGACTGTGGCTCTGCTACCTCCACGCCCCAGAGGAAGGAGCAGGGCCGTTCGCCGGGCTCACGCTCCAGGCGAACGTCGGAGCAGGAAGGGGCCCACGTCCTCCTGCTGCAAAGCCCGTGCGCTCCCACGGCCCCCAGGGCACCCGCAGGGGCCCACGAGGGCCGCAAGGGAGGGGGTCGATGGAAGCAGGTGACTAGGGTTGAGTGGAGGGGGGACTCAAGGGCTTGCACTGAGGCCACAAGGCGTTGAGTGGAAGACCCCCACCTCCCAGAGTGGGGCTTACTAGGATCACTCAGGGAAACTGAGGCTGTGGGGGCCCAGCCCCGAGCTGAGGTCTGCCACGGGGGCCAGGGGACGGGAGCCCATCCAGAGGGAGGGGTCTTGCCTGCAGGTTCTCACTGCTCTGTCTACTCCATCTCTCCCCACCCTCGACAGCTGCGAGGTGCGCCCGGGGCCCGAGTTCCTCACCCGATCCTACACCTTCTTCCCCGGCCGCCTCTTCCGAGCCTACCAGTTCTACTACAGGGACCCCCTCTGCCGGGAGCCCGCCCACTCGCTGGTCATCAAGGGCAAGGTCCGCCTGCGCAGGGCCTCCTGGGTCACCCAGGGCGCCACTGAGGCCGACTACCACCTGCACAAGGCGGGCATCGTCTTCCACAGCCGCCACGCCCTGCTCGACATCACTGGGCGCCTCAACCGGACCCAGGCAGGCCGGGACTGCGCCCGGCGGCTGCCCCCGGCCCGGGACTGGATGCCCGGGGCTCTTTATGAGCTGCTGAGCGCCCGGGCCGAGAGGAACTGCATGGCTGCACTGGGCTTCACCATGCACGAGCTCAGCCTGGTGCGCGTGCAGCGCCGCCTGCAGCCGCAGCCCCGGGCCGCGCCCCGGCTGGTGGAGGAGCTGTACCTGGGGGACATCCACACTGACCAGGCAGAGAGGCGGCACTACCGGCCCACCGGCTACCAGCGCCCGCTGCAGAGTGCCCTGGTGAGTGCGGGTCCCGGGGGGCGGGCTCTGAGCCCTGGCCCGGCAGGCCTGCCAGATACACTCCCTGCCCGGGCCTCCCCGCCTCCCGGCCCTGGGCTGCAGGCCGCGGGACATTTGCATGCGCTGCCCTCACTGCTTGAGCCTCAGCGCGCTCAGCGGGATCCAGAGCCAGTCCCCGCGGGTCCGTTCTGGGCCTGGGCCTGCACACCTCTTCCAGGCTCCCAGGCGGCCGTGGTCTGCCCTCTGCGTGGGAGGTGGCAGGGGAGAGGGGGCCCCCACTGTGCGAGGCACCCCAGGGACTCCCAAGTGAACGTCACACGCGCCGATGAACCGGGATTTTAGATTGAGCCGTCACAAACTTTCTGTGCCGATGACGCGAGGCAAAAGAGGTGGAGCTGCACGTGTGTCGTGTGCCCCTGGCCCGCAGCAGAGAGCCGGGCCGGCGCGGACAAGGCCTCAGAGCCGTTCCTGTGCGGCCGGGGGAGACCAAGGGTCCTCCACAGAAATGTGTTTGTGAAAGCGAAAAACAAAATACACCGCATTTAAAGAGAAACCCACACCGTTCCAGCAGGTGCCCAAGTCTTAACGCATTGACTTGTGACATCGCGACACGATGCCCATGAACTCTTTATTCTCTGTAACTTCAAAGCCGCGATGAGCATAAACCAAGTTCCCAGCGTCCGCAAGACTATTAAAACGAGGTAGGCCACGGAGCCAGGGTTCCGAAGAGAAGAAACCTTAACTCTGACTAGAGGTTAGTGAACACAAGGGCAAGGTTTGGGCTCCGGGGGAAGAGCGTCCACACTTGGCACCCGGAGGTTAGCCTTTGAAGGGAGACCTTCTGGACAGATGGAGAATGGGTGGGTTCGGTGTCCCTGTCAAGTGCTCTGGGAGCCCGTAGGCAACTGTCTCACCCATCAGCATATTCTGGGGGCCTACAATGTACTGGACTCTCAAGGAACTAAACCATAGGGGGCGACTTCTCACCCCTGGGAGCAGCCACTTGTCAACGCGCCTCACAGTGGGGGACTGGGGACGAGCCCGCCCCCCTCCTCCTGGGACAGGATCCGGGGGCAGAGAAGACGCACCAGACATTCTCGTCATCAGACAATCAGCCTGTGGGGCCTCAAAGCACCCCCCCTGCAGCAGCCGGTGTTCCAGGCTGGGCCGACGTCACACCTCCTCAGGGGCAGGCGCTGCTGGGGGCGTGACCAGAGCCCACCGCCTCTCTCGGACGGGCCCGCGGGTGCCAAGGATGCCACGTCCGTGTCTCCCCAGGCTGGGCTCCGGGCCGTGGGCTCCTGCCCCCCGGCCGCCCAACCAGCAGGGTCGCCGGCGCACCCTGCCCCGTGATCAAGAAGCAGGACACACCAGGACGTGTGCACAGACATTAAATTAAATGTCCCCGCTCTGGGGAAAAAAGGGAAGATAATTACAGAGAAGGAAACGCAGCAAGTAAGCCCCCAAGCACCAGATCGGGGGTACCTGGCGCTCAGCGGGGCCCCAGCCCTGCTCGCGGCCTAAACCACACGGTAAACATGAACATTTCTAGAAGTTAATTTAAAACCAATTGGATCCCCAAATTCATTGCCTGGATGGAGAATCCTAATCAATCAGCCAGCACTCAACCAAAATCATCTAAGCCTGGCGTCACCTCTGGGGGTTAATTAGAAACCGAATGTGCTGTTGGAAAAATAACTTTATGTAACAGGCTTAAACCGGGAGGAGCCAGGCTCCCGCACAGGCGCGCGTCCGCGGGCGGAGGCTTGTTCATTAACACGTGCGGCTCCGGGCCTCTGCGGAAGGATGCCTGGAAGACGCTGGATAGAGGAGGGCCCCTTCCTTCACCCCCTGCAAAATCATCAGAGACAGACATGCCGTTTCTCCCTCTTCTCTCGCCCTGCACGCTGTGCAGGTTCTCCGTCGGCCTCTGCTCTCCAGAAAAGCACTTGCCCCACAGTTCCCGCCGGCGCCCCCCACGTCCTGTGTGCAGAAGACAGCTCTGCTCTCCGGGGAAGGGCAGCCGGGGATTGCTTGCATGTAACGCATGGTGTTGTAAGAACACACATCAGCGTGGCAGCGGTCAGGGAGTGGGTTAAAACGCCTCACTTCGAGGAGGCTCTTCCCAGCCAGCACTGCAGTCTCCCCCCAACCCCGCGGCCCCCACTCAAGGCCCAGCCTGCTGGCTTCCCCGCCTCGCAAACGCCTCGCCGCCATTGCTAGCATTGCAAAGCGCCTTCAGGGACTCTGGGTCAAAATCCCCCAAGTGAGAGCCAATACACTCCTCTACATGATGGAAATCAAGGCAAGCTCAGGTTCATCGTAGAAACAGATGATACGCTTACTCACACAACGTGGCCATCCGAAAAAGAGGAAAAAAAATGTTCTCCATCATCCAGTATTTCCTTTCTGAACCAGAACTCCCAAACTCCGACTGTTTGGCATGAAAGTCACCCCAGAGCCATCTGTGGAAATCTTTTGTTTTTGCAAGGAAAAAAAAAAAAAAATAGAAGCAGACTTCCCAGCTCGGTCCCCAAGAAGTCCCTTCCCTTTCCCCTGCCTGCCCTGCAAACGCAGATGTTTGCCGGCCCCTGCGCCGGCCTTGCTCAGACAGGTGACCATGCCAGGGACACCCACCTTTCAGAGTGAGGCTCTGGACCAAACTCTGGGCAGCGGCTCTCTTTATAAAAACAAAAACGAAAACAAACAACACCACCAAGATGTCTGTGTCTGGTTCCTTCTTGGCTTCTGCGGAGTTTTCTCGCCCCACAATGCGGACTGACCGCTCCCACACGGGTTGGTCAGCAGCCGGGTCCTGGGGACGCATTTCACTGTCAACCCAGCTCATCAGAACCCGGAAGGGTTAGGGACAACTGCGAATAAGGCCAACGGGGGAGGAAACAAAGTCACGGCCCGGGCCTCGGAGCGCTGTCGCTGCGCCTGACACCACGGGGGCAGCCGCACGTCCCCATTGTAAATGATACCACAATGGACCTCTTTGTGTCCCCTCTCCTTAGCGCAGGCTCTAAGTGATGGCGCCGCATGGGCGTGAGTACCTGCATCCTTGGTGCCACTGTCCAAGGCAGGAAGAGGGAGGGTGCTCGCCTTCTGGGTGAGATTTCTGAAGACGCACAGTCTTCTTTCTCTGCCCAGCAGCAGAGACAGGCTCCTGGGAGGGGCGTGAGGCTCTCTGCCTAGGAAGGCAGTGGGGTCCGACGGGCGGGGGTCAGCCCGTCTCTGCCACGGCCTGGCCGGCCGCCAGGCCCGGCGGGTGTAGCTTCTGCTGCTCTGACGTAAGACGTGCTCGGCATGGTTCCTGGCCCTTAGGGAGCACCTACAACTGCGAGGGGGTAGAGAGAGTGTCTGTGGGTGAGGAAACAACAATAAACCTGAATGGCCGAATTTCAGGACCAAGCAGGCCGGGTGTTTGGAAGGACAACTTCTGCCAAATCCCAGGACAGAAGCGCCTCCAGTCCATTTCCCATTCCTGCATCGCGCAGCAGATTTGTTCCTGCTCTGAGCCAGGCCCTGAGCCAGGCCCTGCGGACAGAGCGGCCGCGGAGCGTCAGCCCTGGCCTTCTGGAGCTCACGGTTCAGTGGGGGCGGGGGGGAGGAGAAGCGGAGGTGACAGGTCTCTGCGTGCTAGAAAGGACCTGAGGACGGGCGGGCGTGGGGTGACCGGGAAAGACCCCCCTGTGCTCTTGGGGCCGAGTCCTGGGGGACAAGCGGGGGCCGACCTGGCCACGTTCCGGGGGGATCCGGGTAGCAGGGGCGGCAGGGGCAAAGGCGCAGAGGAGAGAGGAGCTCCCTGACACCGAAGGGGAGCAAAGCAGCCGTGGGGCTGGAGGAAGGGAGTGGAGAGAGTGGGGGGGGCCCCCGGGCAGGTCCCCACAACACCCCGCCCCCGCTTCCCCACCGCGACAACCGCCGCCTTCCGTTTGTCTCCCCAGCACTACGCCCGCCCCTGCCCGGCCTGTGGCCTCATCGCCCGCTCCGACGAGCACCACCCGCCCGTGCTGCCCGCGCAGGCGGCGCCACCCCTGCAGCTCAGCGGCCGCTGGGTCAGCCCCGGGTGCGAGGTGCGCCCCGCCGTCCTCTTCCTCACACGGCTCTTCACCTTCCACGCGCACAACCGCTCCTGGGAAGGGTGTTACCGCCACTTCTCGGACCCCGCCTGCCGGCAGCCCACCTTCACCATCCACGCGGCCGGCTGCTACACCGGGGGCACGCCGTCCACCAAGGTCCTCGGCGGCACGGAGCTGGTGTTCCAGGTCACGAGGGCGCGCGTGACCCCCATGGACCCGGTCACTACGGCCATGCTCAACTCCTCCGAGCCGAGCAGCTGCGGGGGCCCGGGGGCCTGGTCCCTGGGAGCCGAGCGGGATGTCACGGCCACCAACGGCTGCCTGCCTCTGGGCATCCGGCTGCCCCACGTGGAGTATGAACTTTTCCGGATGGAGCGGGACCCCCTCGGGCAAAGCCTGCTCTTCATCGGACAACGGCCCACCGACGGGTCCAGCCCGGACACCCCCGAGAAGCGCCCCACGTCTTACCAGGCGCCCCTGGTGCTCTGTGGCAGGGCGGCCCGGGACTCGGCCTGGGCCCCGCAGCGCAGGCCCCTGCGGCAGACGCCCCTCCGCGGTGGGGGGCGGCGTCCTCGAGGGGCCCCTGTCCTCCTCCTGCTCCTCGTCCTCGGCCTGGCCTTCCTCCGCTGGCTATGAAACGGGGACCCCGTCTGACCCCGGGGTCTCCGCCTGGCACGGACTCCACCACCAATCGGTGAGGAGGCCCGGCGCCTTCCCTGTGCTGTGTCACAGGCCCTTAGTGGCCCTGCCACCGTCAGCTCAGCCTGCGTCCTGGTGGCTCAGCCCCTGATTTCAACAGCACCTGCAGAGCCTGGGCTGCGGCCGGTCGCCAAGTCGTGTCCACGACCCGGCGCGTCGCGGCGATGCCAACCAACCGCTTTGAGTTTTGAATGTTCGCTCCCAATTTTCATGGGCAGTTCTAGGACCAGTGCAAGGGATTGGACCCCACCCCCCACCCTACCCCCTGCGCCCTTGGGGTTCTGGGCAGTGGGGGGGAGGCTCTGCGTGGGAATGCTGCCCCGCGGGCCTGCCCTGCGCGGGTGGTGGTTTAAAGATCCTTAATTCGAGTTTAGCAACATACATTCAGGCCAGAGCCATGAATTAAAGATGCTGCTCAGGGCTCCCGGCTCCCGCGGGCTGGCAGAGGGCTCTCTCTTTGGAGAAAATCCGGCTCCCTGGGGTTCTGAGCCAGCACCCGCGTGCGCCTGCCCGCGTTTCCGCGAGCCGGGCCTCGAGCCATCCTCGCTGCCGGTGAATGTTGCTCCGCGTGAGCCTAGGCGTGTGGCCGCCCCCGGCCGGCTGCTGGGGGCCGGCCTCTGCAGGAAAGTGGGGTTCCCAGCCTCTGGAAAGTAATTAATACTAACGAGCACGGCAATACCAACGTGCTCTGTCATTAGCCCTGCACAGGCATCCTCTGCTTTCAAGAACCCTGGGCTCGCCTGACGGGAGGGAGAAAACCAAGCTGGATGTGTCTTGGGGACCATTCTAGGGAGAAGGCAGGGTCACGGGGCTCCATGGAGGCAACGGAAGGACAGGCGGCCTGCTCCCGAGACGCCAATGGCCTCTCTGCTCCGCGGGGACAGGCTGTGCCTCTCCCCAGCCCCTGCCTGTGTTCCCAGGGCCGCGTCTGTACATTGTGAAATTAACTGGCGTCCGGGTGGGCTCAAGGGTTTCCGGGACTTGGTGCGGACGACGCGCCCCTCCTTCCTCCGCCCGATTCCTATCTCTGGCTCTTGTCACGGATCTCGAACAACAATTGTCTGTGAGGCTAATGATGCTTTCAGAAGGAAGCCCTTGTCCTTCCGCTAGATTGTGTGGGGTTCAATCAGCCCACTGAAATTGCTCTAACTTATCTACCCATTCTTCTTTAAAAAAAAAAAACAAAACCCCACCAAGTTAATATTGTCTGTGGGTCTCAGAGAATGACGAGTGTTCCCGGCATATTTACCAAAGCACAAGAAATAATTATTTACGGCCTCAGACAGCATCGGGGTTGCGGGGCGGGGGGCCGGGGGGGGCTGGCGGGGAGGGGGGTGGGTGGCGATAATGTGTCCACGGCTGAGCAAGTTTTGTGTCTGAGGCTTGAGGCAACCATGCCATTATTTATCATCGAATTTGAATCTTTTAATAAAATTAAACAGCCTGAAAAATGTTCTTGCCAGTTATTGAAGTCAACCGAGGAGATTAGGAGTCGAAGGGAAGGAGGCGAATTGTCTCCCAGAGAAAGGAAGGAAAGCCAGTGGAGGCCGACGCTGGCTGCACTCTCCGTGACGCGCCCTGAGGCGGTGCTGCGCCCAGGCCCTGTTTTGAACGCCGCAGGGGCTTCCCGCGCCCTGTGGGTAAAACCCCAGCTCCCAGTCCCCCGGCGGCTCCACGGCCCCACCGGGCCTCCCCGGCCCCGGCCGCACCCGCCAGGCCGCATCCCGTGATCCTTCTCTCTCTAGATCCCAGGAAGCTGTTTCCTGCCCCGGGGCCTTTGCACGTGCCATGGTTTCTGCCTAACGCCTCTTCCCCGAGAGCCTTAGAAGCGCGGCTCTTTTCATTCAAGTCTTAGCCCGCGTGTCACCTCCTCGGGTGACACCCACCGTCAGCGTCCCCAGAAAGCAGCCTTCTTTCCTCCCTTGTCTCCTCGCCGTCCCTTCACTCTCTTGCACATTTTGTATGAGGCTTCCCGATCGCTGTCTGAAGTGAGTGTCCCTGTGGAGGGTGTAAAAGGGAAGGACCAAGTCAGCCACCGCGACCTTTTCCAGTGGGCGTGGCAGTGCCTGGCACGAGGCAGAGCCTCAGTAACTGCGGCTGAGTATCCCGTTTAACCCTCACACCAAAGCGTGGAAGCGAAGGGGGTCACGGCCAGGTCAGATAGGTGTCCCTGAGGGGGCCCAGCGGTGTGGGTGAAGGGCGTGGCTGCCTCCTGCCCTGAGGACCCTGGGCCAGGCTCCGAGGGGAGCGGGGCTCGCCCAGGGTCGCCAGCAGCTGGGCCTCCCAGCCTGAGAGCCGAGCCTCCTCCAGGGTGGCCTCAGTCCCCTGACTAGGGCAGGGTTCCTTGATGGCGGGGCGGGGGGGGAGCAATGAGGGGCTGCTTTGTGGGACCCGCCCTGGGCCACCGTTGATTAGGGGCCTGGACTGAGGCCCTGTTCCCCTCCGGGGCGTCTTGGTCCTGGAGCCAGTGACGCGGACAGAATAGCGTCCCGGCTGGAGAAAGGCCAGTGGGCCGGCTCCAGGCCCGGGCTGCGACGAAGGAGGGAGGGTTTGGGGCCGGGGGCCTTCCTTGGCTCCCCACCGCGACTCTGGCCTTCCCCCGACCAGCCGAGGTGGCTTTAATCAAAAGCGGGGAAAGTAAAACCCACAGTTCGCGTTCAAAACAAAACAAAACAAAATTAATGTTCTCCATTGTATGTTCAGTCACGTTTAAAAGGAAAAAACCGGAGCAGTTGATAATTTCACAGCGTAAGCTCCCAGGAGAGTAAACGAGCTTTTTTTCTTTTTTAATAAAAAGTTTAAATTGTATACAGCTCTCAGAGGCCCATTAACTAACAGATGCTGGTTATCAAAAGAAGTTATTTCTTTGCTTTTTCTAAGCAAATGTGTTTGATCTCCCAGCAGTGCCGCTGGCCTGAAGAGCCGGCTCCGGGTGCCTGGTGGCTCGGGCTCTGCCGCCTGCCCCGGCCTCCCAGGGCCAGTGACTCAGACAGGACACAGGCCACCGGAGGGCACAGCGGAGGGGTCTCGTGAAGGCCGCCTCCGGCCTTTGGTGCAGCCGGGGGAGGGGCCACCCCCACCTCCGGGCTAAACTGGGGCAGCGAGTGCGGCTCTGGTGTTCCTCCCGTGACTGAGAGCTGGTTCCCTCTCGCACAGAGACCCCATCAGGAGGACGCGAGGGTGGGAGTATATTCCCTTCTAGGCCCGCGGGCCGACCCTGTTCCGAGCCCCTTCCCATCTCTGCCCTCCACCCCAGCCGGGGCCACCCTGCTGGTGGTGATTAAGGCCGGGCTGGACGCCCCGGGGCCCCGCAGGGCTGCCCCCTCTGCCTGGAAGGCTCTGCCACCTGCCCCCACGCAGCCCCTCCCCCACCCGTTTTAGTTTCGCCCCCAGAGCGGTTACCAGTATCTGAAAGTCCCTGTGGGTTCCTGTCCTTACTCTCAACGGCCTCTCTCCTCCAGGATGAGTTCCTTGACAGGGCCCGTGTCTATCCCTTTCCCCGCTGCGCCCCCAGTGTGTGCAAGGCACACAGTAGGAGCTCAACAAACACCAAATGAACAGATGCTGAGTACTGACTGGCTGGAGGCTTGGAACTCCGGCCTCAAGAGACAACCACATACCCTAAATGCTGGTGTGGAGTCTAGATGTTGCTTTTTTTTTTTTTTTTTTTTTTAATAAGATGGGCAGGACAGACTCTGCGACCGTGAACTTGAGAGTACTGTGTTCTGCTAGCCAGGCTCTTTAGGAAGGGCGCTGGGGACGACCGTTGTCCTAGAATAGAGGACCGCAGGGCCTGCGGCAGGGTCCCCCGAGAGCCTGTCTCAGGTTACTCCTATCTATGAGGTGGGGGAGACAAGGAGACCCTGGGCCTTAAGCAGACCCCAAGGCTTTCTATCCTTCCCTGTGGGGCCCCGGCTTCCGGCGGTCCCTGGAGCCACCTAGTCCCACCCCCGGAAAGGCCATCAGCGGCAAAAGACTCCGGAGGAATCCACGATGTGTTGTAAGAGCAAGGGCTTTAAACACAGAAACTCCGACAGCGTGGGTCTTTTTCCACTGACGTCGTATTTATTCCCCAAGGGTTCATTAATAACCTACTGCTCCCATTCCTACATTTGGTAATGTTTAATCCCTCAGAAGCAAAAAAATTAAGAAAAAAACTTAGCTGGTCATTACTGCTGTTAAAATCTACCATGTCGGTCTAATAAGACCCACATATATTTACTGAGCACATATAAGGCCCACATACGTGGAGAGCATTGAACTGGGCGCCTAGCGAGGCAGGCTCCCGGACTTGAGGCTAAAGTGGCCAGTGGGGCATGCGCCTCTACTTCCTTCCGAAACCCCAATCAATTGTGGGCAGAGACTAAAGACACCAATCAGGTGGATAAACACAAAGGGAGAAGAGAATACAGCCAACAAGAGCTGTCAGCAGAATTCTGGAATCTGGAAGGCTCACGGGCAGCGAACCACTTGGCAGCAGACCACAGCAAGCAGGACAGGAAGTACCAGCTGAGAGCAGGGCCCGGAGACAGGCCCACTCATTCTCCAAAGGCACAGGGATTGGTGCCCAAGGCGCCAGGTCAGTTTCTAGCTGAACGCATGATAACTCGTATAGAGTCTACAGCAGAAGTTTTACCCCCAAGCTCTGTGTCTAACCCCTGTGAGAAACATAAAAGTGAGGGTGCATGGTCTCCTTCACCTTGAGAAACGAGCCCAAGTGAAAACTACAGATGCTGGCAAACAGGAAGTCCCTAGGAGGTGCACTCGGCCCGGACCCATAGGTCTCATAGAAATCCACTGTTTATGTCCCGCCTACACACACGCGGTGGCCCATCTGAAAGCACTTCCCTTATAAATACATAAGGACATTCAAGGATCATCAGGCACTGGCGGAGAGCCTCCAAAGTGACAGACACTAACCGAGTCCAAAGTGACGA